GGTTACTATAACCTCCTGTTAAAGAAAGAAGATTAGTGGTTAATAGCATTTCTTATAAATTTAGGATTATATAAATAGGTTATAGCACCTATAGGACTTACATAGTTACCTACTAAGTTTACTAGGTTCATAACATATATCCTATGGAAATATCTTAATAAGATAGTCGCTGTCTACTTTAATAATATTATTATCTTCTCTAGAGACCCTAAGGAGCACGAGACACATATACGCGAAGTTATATAGATAATAATAGAAGCTAGACTTATAATAAGCATCTAGAAGTGCATATTTAACGTAATAGAGGTTAAATACCTTAGGATAATCTTTACACAAGATAAATAGAAGATACTATAAGAGAAAGTTAATAAGATCCTTAAATAGCCCGCGCTAACTAATAAAACGCAAGTTAAGGGATTCTTAGGAATCATAGGATATATTAGGGAGTATCTTTATTAATACACTAAAACTACACGACCTATGATAAAATTACTACAAGATAATAAACTATTTATATAAGGGACTAAGTAGCAAGACGCCTTTAAGAAGGTTAAGTAAAATATAAAAGAAGCACTAATTCTATTACCTACTAACCTAGAATTGTAATATTATATGAAAACGGACGCCTTAGGAGGAGTAATTAGGATGGTCCTCAAGTAGAAGGGAGAAGATAGGAAATTATAACCTATTACTTTCTACTCTTAATAGATGACTAACACTAAATAAAGGTATGATACTCATGACTGAGAAGCCTTAGCGATCATGAAAGGTTTTAAGAAATAGAGACATTACCTTAAAGGAGTAAAGCACGAAGTTATTATTTAGACTAACTATAAGAATTTAACATACTTCATGACAACAAAGGAACTCAAGGGATAATAAATTAGATAGGCTTAAGAGCTTTTATAATACTAATTTAGGATTAAGCATATTAATAGGAAAAAGAATGTTACTACTAATATGCTAAGCTAAAGACTAGACTATATAGTTAAAGTTAAAAACCCTAAAATAAATCTACTCTATAAGGATAGAGAAGTTCTTAGATTTAACTAAGAAGCTAAGCTTGCAGCCGCCTATATAATTAATAATTACAAGTTCTTAGTACGCCTTAAGAAAGAATAACATAATAATAAGCATCTTTAGAGATGGAACTTCGGAGCTATATATAAGAAAGAAAGTAATAGGATTTTACTTTAGAATAGATTAATTATAGTACTAGATTTAATAGTAGAAGAAGTAATTAAAGCGCATTATAACCTACTAACCAAGGGACACTAAGGGATTAATAGGATAATAGAGAAAATCTAATAAGTATACTACTTTCTATAAATGCACTAACGGGTTTAGAACTATATTACACGATGCAATGAATATAATAGGAACAAGCTATCTTAATACTAATTATTTAGAAAGATAAGGATACCCAAGATACTAATAAAACCATGGGAAAGTATTACTATTAATTTCATCATGGGATTACCACTATTAAAGGATTTAATCACAGGAACTACCTATACTAATATAATCATTATTGTGTGTAAAATGATGAAATACATGATTATTAGACTAATGCTAGCGAACCTCACTACTAAGCAGCTAGCGCTACTAATGTTACGAGAAGTGTTTATTTAGATAGGACTATCAAAGCATTTTATATCTAATAGAGACAAGTTATTCACATCAAAGTTTTAGAAAACGATTATAGATGCTAGTGGAACAAGTCAAGATATATCTACTACGCGCCATTAGCAAACCAATAGACAGTTAGAAAGGATAATTCAGTTAGTTAAATAATACTTACAACACTACCTTGATTAGAATCAAGATAATTAGGTTAAACTTCTACCTATGGCATAGTTCATAATCAATAATGCAAGGAACGTAACTACGAATTACACGCCTTATTTCGCGAATCTAGGAAGAAATCTAAGGATGTTATAAATAATCTTACTACTAGATAGAAGACTACTAGTAGTACTGATACAGGTTTAGCACTTAAGTATATTACACGACTTAATTACGAAAGACATTAGGTAGGCTAAAGAGAAAATAAAACGCTACTATAATTTAAAGCGTGAGAACACGCCTTACTTAAAGAAGGGAGAGAGAGTTTACCTATTATAATAAATAATTAGAAGGAAAGATTTTAATATTAAGAGTAAATAACTAAGTAATAAACTTAATGCCGTGAAATATAGACTATTTAGAATTAAAAAGAAACTTATAAATAATAACTACTACTTAATGCTACTAATAAGTATACGGTGACACGGTTAGCGGGGCGCCGGAAACGGCCCCCCATTGCACCGTCCGCCTGCCGCCCGCCACCGCCTGCCGTCGACGGGCATCCCACTGCCCTTTGCGGTATAGCGCCGGCCGTTTCGAGGATAGCGTGGAGTCTCGCCGCTTTTACATGCCTGCCCCTGCCGCCCCAACGCTGCCGTTGCATCTATATAAGCCCGGCCTCCCTCCCTCGAACGACCACGCACTCTTCTCTTCCACTTTTCCCTCTTCCCGTCCCAGGGCGCCCAGTGTGCACTGCCTCCCCCCCCCTTTTTTTTTCCCTCAAGATGCCGCGTTATCCGGACATGCTCCTTTTCCAGCACGGCGCCATCTCCACCTTCCTCGCTTCGCCCCCTTCAGCTGCGGCGTCGACGACGGGTTATTTAAACGATTGAGACGTGAAGTCCTTGTGACCATTACTTCGATTGGTTGATGAGCCCACCCACCACCTGTGATTCTGCCCAGTCACTGACTCTTGTGATTTGGGGGCCTTCCGCGCGGCGTTCAGCAACCTGGGAGTCTTTGGCTAACATTTCCCGTCAGCCCGTTTTATCTTTCCCTCGCGCCGTTTTGGAATCCCCTTCCTTCTACCTCGATGCAGTCTTCGATATGAGGAACCTGGCGCACTGCTTGCCATGGGCTTTCGAGATCCGACATGGGGAGGGCAGTTTCTTGATCGTCCAGATACCACCCCTGTCGCGCAGCCTGCCGGTGCCGCTCGGGTGAACAGGGTTGCATCTCTCCCCACCCTCCACGGCCATGTCCGAACCCCACTGGGATCTGATCACATATCCTTGCCTTGCTTCACCAGCCAATGGCAAAATTGCCGCATCTGTTTCATTTCCGTGTCTTGGGCATGCGACGCTTGGAATTGCAGGGAAGAGATGCGATTGGGGCCGGGCACCAGGTCTTGGTTTCAGCCCAGCGTACGCAGGTGAGCGTGGGCACGTCAGCAGACCGGTCATGATCTTGCGGGCAAGGGGATTTTGCCTTGCTGCTTCTGCCGATGCTGGACAGTAACGGACCCAGGAGGGAGGTATAAGGGGACGATTGGGGCCCACAAGACCTTTCGGGCATCTCACGTTGATTCTTCCACAGCCTGCCCTTCCTCCTCCAGTTCCCTTCTTTCTCTCGTCCTTCAAATCGCATCTCTACCGCCGTGTTATACCTCCAAAACTACCCCAATTCCCACAATATGCTTCCTGCATTTCAGATAAATAATTTCAAGCCATGGACCCCTCTTCCTGCGAAACCGTGTCCACCACACAGAACACTCAATGCGTGCTCCCCACGAACTTCCATTACCCCTAACCCTGAGCCCTCTCATGTTCTACTTCCAGGCACTTTACCGCCTCCCAAACATCACCTACCAGCGCGACCACCGGCCGAAGTCTGCGTGCATGTCAGTGCCAACACCCAGCTGGAGTCAGAGACATTCGGGCGTAGTACCGCGTCTCGACAGAGTTCTGTGCCCCATGTTCCTGCTCCGGATCTGATCCGCCCCTGCTATGCTCAGGACGATACTAGAACCCCTACCGAGCCGCCTGGATTCCAGGCAGATGACGCAGCGCGTAATGTCCCATCTCCGAGTGCATCTAGCTCGACCAATAGTCTAGAGGACTTCTTCAGGATTCCAGACTCGCCCCAAGACAACATCCCCATTGATCCGGTGATTCTTGCCAATCTCGGGCCTTGGGAGAGTGACGACCTCCAGCTACATGCCCCCCCAGCAGACGGCATCACTAATCCGGAGACAACCTGCCTGTATCCTGAACCTCCAGCCATCTTCAGCAGCCCAGCTAGCCGTTTTGAAGTGCCTGACGAAAGTGATGGTAATGATAATGGCGGTATTCAGGGAACTTGTTATGGCTGCCAACGAATGCAACCTCCCTCGCCCGGCACCGGACCAGACCAGTCTTTCCCTTACAGCCATGGGAAGCACCAGATTAAGCGAAAAACACGAAAATCAGACGGCGGAGTACGCAAGCCACCTCGAGTTCGCTCCACTTCAGCACCCAGGGAAGATTCCTTCGCTGCCCTTCGGTCTCAGTTCACGTCTCTACCACTGGATGACCGTTTGCAATTTCTATCCTGGCTCTTTGAAGGTGCACTATCTCACTGCATGTCTGACACCTCACAAACAGCATGTGAAGAATTAAAGGCACGGGAAAGCCGTCGCTCAAGTCCCCGGTCCGAGATCGACCAAAGTCGGGGTGTTTGCAAGAGTGTCCGAAAGAGCTCGAGAAAGGGTATGCCATGGTCCACGGAAGAGGTGGACCTCCTAGTGAAGCTGAGGAAGGACGAAGGTCGATCATGGTCAGATGTGACGAGGGTATTCTCGAAGCAGTATCCAGGGAGAAGTCAGGGCGCGATACAGGTTTACTGGTGTACGACTCTCAGCAAGAAAGCGAGTTGAGGCTTTTCAAAAACAATCGTTTATCTAATTATCTCCTGATTATGGGTGTATTTTGGGTGGCTTAGGGATGTTTCTCGGGGCTTTGGAACACTTCTGGATAATAGTGGGATCCTACTGGACTGTGTGTGTGCGTGGAATGTTTATTTGACTAGATGTCGGATAGACCCGTCCGTCTCTTGTATTCTGTTGCAGAAACTCTGGTTCAGTTACCAATGAAGGAGAGTGGTTTGGGGTCAGGTCGACAGGAGCTGGCTTTACATTGTTTCTCAGGGAAAGGACTCTTCTATTAAGTACAAGAGTGTTAATAAAAGTTCTGCAAGGTCTCCAAAGTGTGCTTCCATCTGTTCCGGGCATGGTTAAATGGCTGTCTCTCTTTATTAGCTTCCTTCAATGCATAATCAAGGGGAGTCTTTCCACCGTAATCTGTGGAATGCAGATCTAGTAGATTTCTTTCATAGAGAAATGTTGCAGTCTCCAAGCTTAGTGATCCGCTAATGGCCCCATGGTGTACGATGCTTTTCCCGCCTTTGTCCTTCTTTGAGAGATCGAGGCCATACTCAGACAAGGCTTCCAAAACCCGAGGCTTCATTGTGTGGTGGCAAACTGCGAGATGGCCTAGGTTCCTGCCGTCGGGAGCATTCCAACGAGCATTAGCACCATGCTCCAGGAGAAGCTGGCAGGTTTCTACTCGATTTCCAAACTTGAATGTGCTTAGATAGGTGCTCAGTGGGGTGTGCCCGTTGTTGTCAGTACATTCCACCTTGGCGCCGTATGACAATAGTAAATCCACCATGTCACTCAGGACAATGTCGTCCTGCAGGTAATGATGGAGTAGGGTGCGGCCTTTGGCGTCCGCATCAAGGCAGTAACCTCTGGCCGTGTCTTCGTCTCTGCTGAATATTGTTCGGACAGTTTCGCAGCTTCCCGCTCGAATGGCAGAACGCAACGCACTAAGGCCTTGATAATCGATAGTGTCAATAGAACAGCCTCTATCCAACAAGTCATCAACTATAGAAGAGGCGTTTGCTGCGCAGGCAAGATGCAAAATAGACTCGCCCTTGCCATTACAGGCGGAAACATCAGCCCCCATATCAAGTAATCTAGACACAATGACGGCTGCACTGGGAGATTCGTATCTCACAACATGCAGGAGACAGTCGCGTTGGACGTTTTCGGGATTCACTTCGATTGTGGGGCTTTTAAGTAGGGCATTGACCACGCCCAACCGCTGCTCCGATATATAGCTAAAGATCTTGTCCGCCTCCTCCAATTCGTAATCGGAGATATGATCTTGCACAACCTCGACTTGCCACCTGTCATCAGTCCAAGCATCATCTTTAGGCAGTACAAACCGGTGCATTGATATTTTGCGGTCTCTCCGTTCATCTAGAAGGCCTCTGCGGATGGCCACATGTAATGGCGTGTCTAGACAGTAACATCGTGCGTTCGGATTAGCACCTTTCCTTAGAAGGTACTCTGTCATCCTACTATGCCCCGCGCAAGCTGCAAAATGGAGCGGCGTAAGGCCAACGGGCTCATGATCATCTTCCCTTACTGCAATAGGTGGTATGCCTGCCTTTGTGCAGATGGGATAGGGGCTGTTCTTGCTAAACTTTCTTTGTACTCCCATGTTGATGTCAGCACCTGCTTCAAGGAGTAGGTCGACGATCCCATCCTTTCCTTCCGCAACCGCGTAGTGAAGAGGCGTCATATTCTGCGCGTCACACAGGCGAAAATCGACACCGTATGAGAGGAGCAATTGCACAGCCTCGGTACACTCTTTTTTTGAGGCAGTTATGGTCAGATGCAAAGCATTGCGATCCATATTGTCCAAGGCATTTGGATTTGCGGCACTGCTAAGAAGGCATTTCAGGGCTCCTAGATTCACACTCCTAGCAGCAACAAGGAGAGGGGTTTCGCCCGCGCTATTTTTAGCTTCAACTTGTGACCCTAGGTTGACAAGGGATCCCACCAAGCCTTCGCTAGCCTGGATGGCAGCGTAATGCAACGGACTTTCGAACTCGGCGTTCCGTGCATTCACATCAAGGCCCTCATTAAACAGAACTTCGATTGCCTGTAGCTGCCCATTTTTCACTGCCCAGTGTAGGGCAGTCTGACCAGAGCTGTCTGCCACACCTGGGTCTGCTCCTTCTCCGATGAGTTCCCTGATTTGGTCGATAATCCCAAAATATGCTGCGACATGCAAGCCCGTTACGCGCTCTAGTCTAGGGAACAGACCAACCGAGAACTGGTCTGAGAGGGTTAAGACGTGAACACTGTTGACCAAGTTCATAGCGTTTCGTAGAAACCCAGCAACCAGTCCTCTAATTTGGGGGTATTCCTCCCTTGCATGCTCACCCCAATAACGGGCAGCATAATCATAAAGAGAATCTAACTCAAGCCGCTCGTGGTATTCTATCCAAGTCCGAGCAAATGGGACAGAAAATCGGTCAAAGCTCAGATAGTTGATCAAAACTGTGGCCATGTATTGATTGGCTTCGGGGAACCACAATGTCCAGGATTTCTCGAAGTACTCTGATGCTGTGTAATGGACCAACTGAATAGTCGCACGTTTTTCGCTGAAAGTGACCAGCCCAGCACACACCTCAACTATCACGGATAGAGGAGGGATGTTTTGCTCATCGAGCTCTGATAAACCGGCTGAAACCGCAAGCGCGTGCCGTAGCTCTGGAATCCGAATTGGCCTGTGCGACCGGGTGATCCATGATAGCACCTGGAGTGCAAGCTTTTTATAGTTTCCAGACTGATTAGTGATTCTCGTCATAATATTCCCGTATGCATTGTTGTAGGCCATGGAACCCGCTGCCAGATCTTCTAGCGTTCTTAAGACATTTGCAACGGTTGTTTCTCGACGTAAGGTATCCAGATGTAATTGCGCGAGCAGAAACCTATTAGCATCATCAGTATCATCTTGATATGGTTTGGGTTGTCCTACTTGCATTCCATCGGTTATCTTCATAACCGTATCGGTTATCTTCCGTTCCAAGCCATCTGCTTCCCGAATCCAAGTCTCGAACGTCAGAATCTCACTATTGATGAATCTGCGCACGTCGTCCTCGGTGGCACGTATGTCGCGCCGAATACTTCCTCTTTTTTCAAAGCTCTCCACTATCCCAGAGATCGGCCTTGACGTTACAGCAATATTGGCACAAACAGTGTCTTGAATTTTGAACAGCTCTGTAACGATCTCTGATCGAAGTCCCTCAGAGACTGGGATTTCATCCAATCCATCAAGAACAATAAAGGTCCTTGAGAAGCGCTTTATGACCTTGCACAATGTGTCGCGGACCTTGTCCAAGGAAGGGGGCGTTCTTTTCTGAGTATGGTATTCGTAGAGCTTTGTCACCTCATCCGGAACTGGGTTCGGGATCAGTTGTTTTAGGAGCCCCCGAAGCAGGTCTGACATGAAGTTGTGCTTCAGTTGTGCTTGGTAACTAAGGAAAGCAAACGCGATGCCAGGTCTTTTCTCGTCTTGGGAGACACGATGTAAGTGGTCAACCATAATAGAGGCAATCATGGTTTTTCCGGCGCCCGGAATTCCAGGGCAGAACAAGAGTTGCCCCGGCCTGGTTAACCATTCGTTAAATTCCGCTGACTCGAGAAACCAGCCACCAGTTTCTGGGGCCCGCTGATTTAAATGATCACCAAGTTGAAGTACGTGATCGAACTTCGTGAACCAGTTCAGGATTGTGTTATATTCTTGCGTTTTCAGTTTTGATTCCACGCTTCGAACCGCCGTTTCCACTATATATCGTCAGCAATATACTAACAAAGCATCTAATAGCTAACCATCTGATAGAATTTCCGCCATCTTTTTTTCCGCATTGGTCTTGCGAGGGGAAAGTTTAGACACAAGGTCTTTGGTATAAAGAGCAGCTGTCAATGCAGCGTATCTTTGCCATTGATCGTTCTTGTGATCCGAGTAATCACAAATACCACGAATAACCGCACATGGGAAATGATTCATTAGACCGGCCGCTTCCATATCAAAACACAAAATGTCCTTTTGTTTGGAAAGCTTGTCACGAATCACAGCGTCCTTCATCACTTTGTCCCCTGAAGCAATTGTGCCGTAATAGATGGCGACACCTTCAAATTGGGACCTTTCTCGCCTCAAGACCAAATTCATCTGGTCATTCACACATCCCTTTTCGTGGTCGCAAATACTGCCATGCGTAAGATGAGATTTGAATAGACTGTCGCAGAGGTCGTGCCTTGTCCACCTTTCGGCAAAATGGCAATAACAACATTATGCTTGCCAATTCGCCCGAGAGTATAATTGTTATTATCGTTTTGGGAGGCATCTACTGACACATCATCGTGCTCCTCATCGAGACATAATTGTGCCGCAGCATATTCGCATGGGAGAGCGCAGATCCAGCCGACCGTATAGTCGTTTGGACCGGTCATTTCGTTATTTTTTTTTTTTTTTTTTTTTTTTTGCCGATATTCAAGCCAGAGGTTGTGAGCTATTGTTACTGATCACCGTGAATTTGGCGCAGGCACGGATGCTCGAAATCAAGCGAAGAGGCGCTGGGTCAGAAAGAGGTGCTGGTGAGATATATAAGGCAACCTTGATGCGGGGTAAGTCGGCTGCACGATGAGCTGCACTTTTTCAGGTATATAGAATACTGTCGCCTGGTCAGAGCAATCTCGGGCGATCCATCTAAATCAAGCTCTGCAATAAAATTTCGTTTCTCAGCAGAGTCGCCGATTTTCACGACTGAGTCTCGATCTGTCAGAAAGTGGGCTATCCAAACCGATTTTCAGAAGCCGTGGAAGTGTGACAGCACACCCACGGCTGAACTGATGTTCGTCTGATTCTTTCGCGAGGGAGGATAATCTCTGCAGGGGTCATTCAAGGCTCCAACGCAGCAGCCTTGCAGCCAGTTAATTCCCGAGGCTCCATGCTCCAATAAAATAGGCTTTTGTTGACCGTGAGTCTGTTTGGCTGCAATTAATCGCCGAAGGACTCACGCCTTCAGCGCGAGACTGGCTGCGTCTGGTTGGTTCACAGCTAACGTCCCGCTTCAGTGCTTCAGTGCGCCAACGCCCCTGCTGCCAAAGACGTTTTCAAGATTCGATCTCTGGGATTGGAAGAGCAGTATACGTCCTGTTACATCAGCGAGGTAAGCCAGCGAGCGGACTAGCAGATCTTCGTTCAGCCTACTAATCTTGACAAGGTCCGAAGCGATCTCTAGTGGAAGAGTCAAATATGTAAATCTCGGTGATCTTTCTAATCGGGATAGCCACCAGGGCTCTCTTGAAGGTAGTAGTATTCTTCCGTCTATTTTTCTGCTGAGACATTTCCTTTATGGTCTCAGAGATATATGGTATACCATCAAGAAGAATACCTAGCTGCGCCGAACCTTCTTAATACGTCGAGGCTTCGAATTTCCATCTACTTCGTCCAAGTGTCGCACGCCAAAGACAGATGCAAGGACCTCGCTTAGCAGAGAGTTGCGAGGCTCTTCAGGAAGATAGCCATTTTTAGTAATTCGTCCTTACTGTTTATTATTGCATAGAGTCATGATTGGGGCCAAGAGGAGCAGAATTCTCTCTGATGAGTAGTGTATTATTGCGCAGAAGCTCTTTCTTGGCATCCACTCTAGTATATTCTCTCCATGACTGGAGATATTAGAACCACACGGTCAGGGGACCTGAAGCCCAGAGTGCAGCCAGGAAACAAATCTAAGACTCTGGGGTGCTCAAAACCGGAGCGCTTGACAATGAACGCCAGATGCATGGACATTTGCCCAGGTCATTAATCAGATGAGGGCAATGCTTCCTGTCCTTTGACCGTTCAACCCCAACCTTTCATCCGTAGTTTAACATGTGGGGCGTTTTTATTGGTGGTTCCCGTGAGCCTGTTGCCTTGCAGGTAATCTGGTGGGCAACGTGATCCCATTGGTTTATGACGTAACCGGACGGCGCAGGCTATTTCATTGACCAGGCATATCTTGCTGGTCAACATGAGGTGAACGGTCAACTCGACAAGGAATGGGCAAAGCCTGAGGTCCTCAGATAGTTGATGGTGTTGAACTCCCATAGATTGTCTCTCTGCTGAAGACCACGATTTTGGTATGATCCGAAAACCATGGCTCTCCTAACTCATATATGTAAGCCATCCTCAACTAGAACCCTGCTTTAGATGATAACAAACGAAGAAATATTTGTGATTCTCTACATCATCTGGCTGCATCTCTAATAGTATTCGCGATATGGCATTAGAGACCCCTCTCCAGGAGAACAAGAAAAAGGAAGCCCCTTCGAGGAAGGCATTGCGGCAAATGAGAGAACGGCGAAGGGAAGGCATCATTAAAAAGGCCTATGAGTATAGCAAGTTATGCGAAGCGGATGTTTGTCTAGGTATCCGATTACGGGGTTCTGGTCGGGTGTACACCTTCTTAGCTGATCCGAGTGGGTTTTGGTCCTCCTTTGAGTCACAATTGGTAGGATTCCTTTCCAGTGGGCAGTGCAAGACACTAATCCCCTACAGGAAAAGTACTATCCAACGCCCATTCGGAAAACGACCGAGGACATTCTACGATCGCGTAATACCCAGCACGGCCGCCAAGTGTCGGAGACATCTGAAGGCAACATCGAATCTACATAGAATATGTATATTATTCAGAGGGATGAAACATGGCCCGAGTCTGATGATGGGATAAACTCCAATAACTATCCACACGGGTTGGAGCGGTGATTGAATGGCTGAACGTCTGAATTCATATGGAACCTCTTTTGCTACTCCCATGTGGAGAAAGGAGTAGTTTGTGTCCAATAATTGTTGAAAGGTGGTGGAAGTTATGATTGGCTGGAAGTGGCCTCTGAGATGTGAAGCCTTCGGCACGTCTCATTCGGCCAATCAACTCGATGGATTGCGATAAATGCTCCTAACATCACAACTTGTATACTAAGACGTCTATTGAAGAGGACTGGGCCAGCATTATATAGTCGGTTTCCAGGCTGTTCGCGAAGGTTTCACAAGAAAAAGGATAATATGCAAGACATCAACTTTATCTGCTGAATATTATCTGCCATCTATTCCTCCCCTTTCCTCCTTCTCTGCCACCCCAGCCAAACTGAGAAGGTAAAGGTTGTAAGTAGAACTGTAGAAAGGCCGTATATCCAACAAAGGTCGGACACTAAGAATGTGAGACGGCCATCATTCTTAGCCTCAAGAGCAAAGAAATTGGTGCCGAAGAAGCCACAGACCAAGCTTGCTGGAAGATAAAGCATTGTGACTATCGAGATAGCATACATGGATTCACTGTCTCTTTTCGTATCCCTTGCAATGTCGGCGTTCTTCCTTGCTATCTCCAGGGAAGTTAGGCTGTCACGATTAGCTGTGAGATTATAGACCTACATATTTTTTTTTAGCACTGAGATCTGTAGTTGCTTCGGGAGAGCTTACCAATTCAACCAAATTTTGAGCTCTTTGCTTTCGGTTCTTACATCTTCTCCTCCTATCTTCGCAAACATGCTGTAAACATAGGAAGGCCCTCTGTATGTGGGCCTCGGACTCGGTATCGAGGGCAAACTTAGCCTCAAGAGAGGACTCGCGGGAAAGCAATTCAAGGTCCATAAGAATCTTGCCAATCAATGAATAATCAGATTCGTTGGAATGCTCCAGGGTGATCAAAGACCGCAAGATTTCGTGCAAATCCTGAACTTGTGGGCCAAAACCATCAGCCGGCCTCGTCTTGATCAAGGATCCATCGAAGAGCTGTGATTCGATTGCAAGGAGCCTATGGAAGGAATTGTTCAGGGGCTTATTCCTAGTGTCCACCACGTGATAAAGAAGAACAAGGTGGCACAAAAATGGATGAAGGGAGAGTGCTTGTGTTGCTGACAATCTCTCAAGTCTTCTGATGGATTCCAATGTTTCTCGGTCCCTATCTGGTATGGTGAAAGAAGATGCCACTTGTCTCTCTGTAAAAAGGCATATCGAGCGTTTGTTTCCGAGTTCGTATCGGTAATACACAAGGTTAGGCCTTCGCTCTGAAGGCTGTAGCTGACATGGGATATAATTTCGGGCGTCGGGCTGATTAGCAGTGCCAGCACTGAAGCGCATGTCTTATGAGAGTGAGCGGTCGTATGAAAGAGAAGTCATGATTAACCTACCGAATACCCGATCAAAGCCGACTCCATGAAATGCAGAATGGTACGACTCCAGTTGAGGGGCTCTGAGATCCAATCCTAAGCCAGAAGCAAAGTCACCATTGCCTTGGTATTTTCGAATTTCGCTCAAAGTGTCCGAAGAAATGACACTAATATATCATCTATGAGCATACGTCTATGAAGAATTCCAGAGAGCCTACAGAAATAATGCCTGTGCTTTTGCTGGTACGGTTTTCAATATTTCCTGTGTTGCTGTCTGAAAACCGCTAAAATCCTCGACTGCAAAGAATATCAGCATAATGGCTTTGCTGTACGGGAGGTTAAACCTACAATCTCGCTGTCTTAAGAGTTTAACCTCAGTCCCCTCTTGACTATCCCGTCGAAAAGGGCTAGAGCATAAAAAGTCCATAATTTGAGCATCGGCTGTTACTAAACGACATGAGAATTATTGAGCTTGTAAGCAAGTTGGAGGAGGATCCTCACGTTTGTCTGAACTCTGGGAGCCCATCGTGAACAGCGATATCCCGGGGAAATTTTCCAAATATATTGAAGGGTTAAATAACAAAAGAGCAGCAGAAGGTTAAAAGCTATAAGACGCTTGGTCGCTGTTCTCGTAGAATCAATCGCTTGGGTTTATGTGAGGTCTTATATTTTGAGTTACCCTGCTCTATCGATAATGTATGCGCCGAACGGGCAACGTCATCTTCGCTAGGAGGAATGCCAGCCAGTAATCTAAGCGCCGTTAGATAAAGAGTGTATAAATATAGGATTAGAGCCGTGGCTCCGTAGGAGGAACTTTGGCTTCCAAAAATGTGGTTGGACGACAACCTGGCTCTCTCAAGGCACAGGCTAGCGTCGCAGGCTTGTTCAGATAATTAGGACTGTGTATTGGGCTGAGAGCGATGCATGACTGTGGAAGCTGACCCACAACTGAGTGCCGCAGTCGCATTTTGCGGCACAGCCTCGTCGTGCCCCTTAGCGCTTCGCTTGGCTGGGTTCAGTCAGCAGAACTTTTTTTTATGTCTCACATCAAAGCTCTGAGCAACCCCCATTAAGCGCCAGGGTCAGTAGTTTGCTTCGACTTTGTGAAGCTGAGTAGTTTATTGGACAGCTAGGTCAAACAAGTGACGTCAAAGGGGGTAAACCGAATGAAAATGCAGAATAGTGGGATGTCCCAGGCGCACGGACTCCTGATTTACTCTTTTTCGTTTTCCCCTAGAACATGCGACATCTAACTTTCACTACGTATGATGAGGCCGGTGAAATTGAGTGTCCCAAGGCTGAAAGGTAACTTGACGAGTAAGGATGAAGATAATTTTTCGAGGCTTGGATGGCCGCAAGGATCGAAGTCATTGAAATGTGCAATGACTGGAAGACCAGCACATTCAGAGCACCTCTGTGCATCATTCTCTTCTCTTCGATACTCTAAGCCTATAATGACCTCGAGTCAGAGACTGCTTTGCAGTTAGCAGCCGGGTTAAAAGCCTATACCTCTGCACAAGCGCCGCCACTTCGCGCTCCTCTCTTCACAGCCCCGCGCTCAGAGATCGCCGTCCTCCGGCAAGCTAAGCCCACAATGCGCACCCCCGACCGAACCTCTAAACCGTCGTGTGAATCGCTCCACTTGAGATCGAATTACATGCTGTGAAAAATATGCTGGACGAGGTGCATTCAGGAGAATTGTCTGTCGGCCCTGGCGATGACTCTTTGTTCCCCGCGAGTGAGATTCACGGGAATAATATCGCGATCACCACGTTTGCTGCCGGCCAGCAGTATAGCACTAACTCTGTATTGATTGATTGATTGATTGATTACGTCATCCGAACCGGCCCAGCCGCCCCGAAGGCAGCTATGCGGCTTGTATCCTAATCGACGTTCGCCAGCTTCGACCTTATGTACATGAATTTAAAATGTATATATCTCAATGTGGGAGAGAAGAAGGTAAAAACTGGTTAGAAGTGTGCCTGCCCGTGCGCATTGCTGCCGCACAGACTGGTGTTGCATCCGCGTGCGATCGGGGACTCAGTGCTCCGCTAAGTTTTCCGTATCGGCGCTCCTAAATTGCCCAAGGAGCTTGGTTTCCAGCATGTATCTGGCGGCTCGCGCCGCCTGTTTTCCATCAGTGAGCACCTTTTTCAGGTTGGTCGACCATGTGCCTTCGCTCCGCCACACGTTGCGTTCATCTTTACTTGGCGACTCCACCGGTTGGGAAGCTAACCATCTTTTCAGTGTCATAGATTCATATAGCATCGCTTCGAGCCAGAAAAAATGATAAAGAGGATTCCTGGGTGGTCATTACAGGGACCCCGCGCCTTCATGAGAGGAGCCGTTTAATGTAAAACCGTCCTACGCCGACTTCTTTGGGGATTTAACGCCACGTTTTCGGCGTCGCGAGCAAAACAATGTCACTAACGAACCCAGCCTGACATGTCTCGTTAGGGAGTACCAGAAACCTCAACAATGCTCCGACTCCCATCCTGCTCCTTCATCTCAGTCTGTGACCCCGACGCCTGACTAGCCACAAGCTGTTCCTCCTGCAATACCTTTGGCGAAAGCATAACGCTGAGCCTCTGGTTCCCACGGCCCCATCGTTTCGATTTTGCTTGTGCCGCGTCTGGAAAAAAGCGGAAAAGTCAGCATAAGGAATTCTCGCAGCAAAGTGTGGCGTATAAGGGAGGAAAGGAACGACTTACCATTCAGAATATAAATGAACTCAACAACAATCGGCGCCCAAATCGTCAGCGCCGCAATCTGCCCGAATCCCCACTGGTCATCTTCGAACTGGTCGCGCGCCAGACTTTTCAAGTGTCGTCGCTGACGCCACATCATCTCGAGACCGACAATCATCCCCGCAACGAGGAGGCCAATGAGGAGGACCCAGAAAATCATGAGGATGCGGAATGCGGATTTATGCAGTTTGTCAGCCTGGAACTTTTCTCTCAGGCTTTGGAGCCAAAATGCGACTGTGCCGACAACGGCGAAGATAGCGACTGTCCAGGAAGGGTATGGGATTGGGTTGATCACGTCGTAGTCGGTTGAGCTGTGGGCGCAGCCGTCGGAGGCGAGGCGCCAGTCGCGCTTGCTGTCGCCGTTTAGGTGCGCTAGACCGAGGGCAACGATTACGAGAACAAAGACAACGAAGTAAAGGAAGACGCGCGCAGCCCAGCGGGACATTGGCTGTGCAACGACCATGCAGAAGAATGTGACGAGGATGCTATTCACCTGCAGGAAGGCCATGGCTTGCATTTCGGCGATTTCAAATGTCGGTGGATTTTGCGACAGGTTGGCAAGCGTTGCGAGGGCGCTCGAGCCGATGAAGAAGCCGTTCGACGAGAAAAAGTTCATCTGGATGTCTTTTAAGTCACGAACGAAGCTGCTCACTGGGCCGAACGTGAGGTAAAGGACGCGGTAGACGGGGCCGAGGAGGATGGTGAAGGTCGTTTGAAGTGTGTATGCGACCATCATCTACAGTCAAGTGGGAAATATACCGTCAGTCAGTTCAGAAGTTTATGGAGAAGTCTCAACCATGAGAGACTTACGCCGATCCCAGAAAGATCAGGATTTCCTGTGCCGTATGTGAGCAGGCACAAGTTCTGGCAGTGCTGGACCTCGACGGTGATGTTGAGACCATTCTCGTTGGCATGCTTGAAGAAGTCGTCGATCTTGTCAAAGTCGCAGGTTCGGTTTGCCTCTGCCAGCGCCGTCGCTGAAGGTGTCGCAGATGTTTCACTACTGGAAGTCTCGGATGGCGCAAGACCCGAGCTCATCGAGCGCGTGCCATTCGTGTCGATTCGATGGGGTTATTTTGTCGTTCCCATTGTAACCGAAGGGTTCGCCATCTTGTTTGCCATCTTAAGCATCATCAACAATCGGAAAAGCCGAAATGTCCCGCTGTGGAAGTCATCGACGCTTGCTGTTCTGGAATGCCGGCATGAGGAACGGCTGGGCCTCCTGCAGACCACCGGCAAGGATATCAACCAGATCGATGCGGACGCTCAGAAGGCACAAGTGCGGCTGCAATAAGAGTCAGCAGTAATGGAATGAGCGATGAGATGCCAGACAAACGTTACGATATATGTATGTATATGATAGGCAGATAATATAATGTTGTCATGGAACGTTCTGCGTAGCAAGAACTTGAACGCCCTCGACGGACCAAAGCGCGATGTTGTCGACAGGCACGCTCCAGGGAGTTGCCCCGCGCGGCTCTCCGGCTTTCCGACTGCCTCGATGCAACAGCCCGCACAGTGCCTGAGCTATGTAGAACGAGCCTGGAGCAGAAAAGGTTTCAAGAGAAGCTTATGCTACAAAGAAAGTTGAGGACGATTTATGGAGAGCGAGTGTTAGCGAAGCGGTCAGGCATATAAGGAAATCGCTTTGCCCCTTCGCGCCTTCCACAACCGGCCTAACGCAAAACCGCCATTGATTTTCCAACCTACCCTTTGCTTTCAGAAAGTAGGCCGTTCCTGAATCGAACTGCTTCTCCTGTCTGCTCCAGCCAGTTCTCTCTCCACTTATAGTCGCCAATTACTTTTGAAGCCACGAAGTTGAGGCTTTCGGCGAGGAAAATCTTGTCATCGAGGAGACAGCAAAGTTTCAGTTGGAGATCGTTGTATTCGTCACCTACTTCGGCATTACGTTTGACCGCTCGGTTGTGCTCTTTTTTCGCTTCCGTCAAAGGCTTATCGGTGAGACCAAGAGAGTAAACTCTGTCAACAGAGAACTTCCTGAGACCATGCAGTTCCCTGACTTCATTGACTGACATTTCGAAAATACAGTGATTCACGAAATCGGCTGACCTAACACGTCAGAATTGTTTGCCAGCCTCACTGCCCAAGAAGTTTATTGTCGAGCCAAGCCGCCGCAATCCGGAGTTACAATGACCCGTGTCAGCCAATCATATGTTTGGAGAAAAGGCGGGAGCTTCACAGAACTCTCAGCCTGCTTCCTTTCCTACCCCACAATCTAAGCATCAAGAACACGAGCAGAAAGCTGGGACTAAAGTCTCCTGTGGACCAGTAATTTTCATATTCTCACGGGTTCTTTTGCAACACAGAAATGGCCAAAAAAAAATTCAATATCATACCTCGAGTGAGCCAGGCAATGAAAAAAACCCGCAGGAGGGACTGACCAGGTACCACTTCCTTTCTTCAGAAGTCGTCTCGCTCCAGGCAGGTCAATCAGGGCCTTTATTCAAAATTCATAGCGATTTGCTTGGTTCCAAGTGCAAAGCAATTATGTCGGCATTTCGGAATGGATTTGAGGAAGCACAGAAGGGTGTCTACACATTTCAAGACACATCAGCTGGCTTATTGAAACGATTCATCGAATGGGCATACACAGGCAATTATCCAACCGTTCTCAACGCATATAGTCCTGTTCAAAGTGAGGCTAAAGAGGCAGGAAATGCTGAGAATAAAGTTGTGGAAGACGGGCGTCAGAAGAACATTGCGACTGATATCACCTACATAAACCATCCGCTGCTAGCGCACATCCGCCTATATATCTTTTGCAGCATATATTTTATTTCGGACCTTCAGCAGCTAGCCTTCGACAAATTGTCGGCTTGTCTTATCGACCTTAAGCTGCCGGATAACCTCAGCACTCAGCTCGCTGTTGTCGCAGCTCTACGCGTAGCCTTTAACCGGCTACCTTCACAAGATCCTTTTTGGATTGGCTAGCTCAGTACGCCGCGTACTGTGTTGACAAGCTTCGATTGCAGAAGGATTCTCTCGACCTCTTGAGTGAATTTCCCACTTTGAATTCGCGAATGATACTTTCTTTAAATCCGGGATCATCTCCGCCATGGGAGACCAAGACACCTAAATATTTTTACGCACCCTATTCACCTGACTGTGATGGCTACTCTAACTAGAGTAACCTGCGAGGTCAGAAATCTCTATTTGGAGAAGAACGACTTTCGATACCGAAGTTCGATACCGTCTGGGAGAAAGGGAACTGGATTTACCATGGATCAATTTGGCACCTTACAGGATGTTCGAGAATCGGGCAAGAGGGCTTAGAGCGTCGCGCATTGGAGGGACGTGAGTGTCGGAAAAGCTATGGTTCTTTAGATTATGGGTTGGTGTGATTTATGGTCCGTAGGGCTCAAAATTAGTGCATATTCTTACGTCTGAATAGAGAGTTGTGCCAAACGATTTTAACGCTCTGCCTGGCTCTGATGCAGCATCTTGTTTATTTTTATTTAGCTGACCCCGTTAACGTCTATATCTTTCCATGGCATTTTCTTCAACACAAGTGACTAGCCCATTTATTATCTCTAGTATCATGGGTTCCGGGTTCAGTACCTTATTCCACCCACCGATCGGAAGACCATTCGACAAGCGTTGGAAAGTCCAGACGACTCTAATACCACAACTCCAAGCATCATTCTGTTGCGGAGTAGGCTATTTTCATGTTATTTATCATATGACAAAGTACGGATAGAATCCACTTACAGCTTCTTGGTAGGAGAACTTTAGGGCCCCAAATTCTTCCTGGACCAATCTCGACATCCGGGTCTGGTTAACAGCGCCTCGATCAGCTAGCGAATCGTAATGACGAATCACTCGCTCCCGTTCATTAATCTCAAGTAACGTGTAGTGGCTGTCTGTGTGGTTAATAGGACAGAAGAAAACCAATGGAATAACGTCCCCAAACGTTTCTTTAGCTTGTCGTCGGTATTTTGAAATCTTCTTGGCCCATGCCGCTAGCGGCCGTTTGAAGGGTCGGATTCGCTTTACTGGTTCAATCGCAATAATCTCATCGAGAGGAATGCTTTTGTCGTGTTGAACAAATGCTGGCCGGTCAGATATCTGCATGGCCGCCAGGATTGTCCATGCATCGAGCCGTACGCCTGGACGGAGGTGTTGAAGTATTGTACATTCCAGCTCCATGCTTCCATTCACGGCCAAAGTGTCGTTGGGGCTAAGTATGGTTTGGCATAACACTCTGGCCTTGACTCCTTCAACCAACTGGTCTATGGCAGTATCTAGTTTTCCAGCGGGAAGAGCTTCCTGGTTCAGTTTAGTATTCAAGCCGTGCTGATACTTATGATTCGGGTTACTTACGTCCTCTAATGGGAAGGTAGTTCGCAATTCCCGAGCCTCGTCTTCTGAAATCAGCCCCCCGCCTATTAGACGGGTAATAAAATCACGAAAGTCGGGCCAGCCACTGCTTACAAGGCGCTCTAGTTGGAGGCCAAGGATCTGAAGTAGCCTCATGTGTTGGGGGTCTGCTTGTATAGAATTAATAAGGTCGTCCAGACGCCTCATGCTCATCTTAGTATATTCCCTGGCTTTTATTAGCGGATTTAGAAATATCAAAACAATGCCGGCCTTACCAGTTTTTTTTGCTGAACAGTATCCCAAATCCTAGGTTTTTAGTCAGCTTCGTGCTTAGCTTCTGGCCTCTGCTAAGTTGCATGCTGATCAGTTTCCTCCGCTGGCGCTGGTCACTCTCAGCAAGGCTGACCGGACTGCCCGGAAGCTCGTGGCCTGCTTCACTTTGGTTCAACGCAACCGTTCCAACCCCGCTTATCCACCTTCCCTGGTCTTCCACACTCCTTCGAGTGGTCTGCATCTCATTCAGTACATGGATTGCAGCTCCTCGACGATCCACGGGCTGTCCCTTCTTGGTGGAGATCGTCCTTTGGGCCAGTTGTACTTGGCCATCATACCATTCCCAGGCCCCCATGTACTCCAGCATATTAAGAATAGTAACTTGACGTTGCCGAGAGGATCCCATCTCAAGTACTTGTACCCATATCGAACCATCAGACTACGTGTTACTCGTAGATGCGGCTAGTGCCTCCGGCTGGGTGCTTTGCAATGACCGAAGAATTCGTTTGTGTATAGCCTTTGGGACGCCGTCCTGGTGTTGGCTGAGTTGGTAGAGGGTCCGAGCAGCCTCAACAATCAAGTCCCGGACAGGCGATGCCTCCATAGAGGAGTCTGTTGGGGGTTGACAGGATGAACTAGAGCTCTCAGCTGACACTAGTACTTTTTCTTGGTAGACCTTAGGTTGAGGGAAGGACTTTTTTTCAATCTGTCCTGCATCTAGGGTCTTTCCGGCGGGCGGCATTGTTTCAGCATCTGGTAGGGTTTTTTCGGGCCCGCGTGATGTTGGAGTCTCTATCAGTGGCATGTCTTCGCTTGCCATGGTTACTGTTGGAAGAGTTTCGTCTTCCTCCTTGATCTGCCTTTCTGTTTCCAGACCGCGACAGTCAGCGGTGGGACTGGATTTCGCAAGGTATGCGGAAGATCTGCTAATCCTGGTAGACTTTGATGGACGATAAGGGGGATCTTGGTCTAGCTTCCATTTTCGTTTTAAGGGGGCAGTGCTCGCGTTGACCTGCTGTTCGGGTGGGACCGGCTTGTTTCTCTCTTGAATGGTTCCTACAATGGCTCGTGCGACATCCGGGCTTGCCTCGCAAAGTTCGTGAAGTATTTTTTTAAACTTATGTCGCACTTAGTATGTTCCTGATTTTCAGTGAACCAGCGTACCTTGGGCGTCTCTTGAAGATCAATGGCTGCGTGGGAAGCAATAAGATGCACAAAACGCTCCAGGAGCGCGATGAGCTCATCCCTGATTTCTTGGATTGGATCGGACGAATCAACATTGTTTGACAACATGGTTGAGGAAAGTGAGCTTGAATGAAGAATCGGTTATTGCTGTTGGTGAGACTTGAGCAAAAGAAGGGAGGGGTAGGGATTCTTATAGCCGTGGCTCTGGACATTCTACTATGCTAGCTGGGCGTTCCAGCATCCTAGGATGGTGGAAAACGAGCCAGTCGGAGGTGGCCAGCAGGGTGTCTGACTGACCAGAGTAGACTATTCCTTTCACGGAAAGTGCTTGGTTGGCTATCCTTGCTTCAACCCTCCTAGTCCAAGGCAGACCAGGCTCGGTTCATATCCAGTTGGCCGACGAGACGGTTGGAGCACAGTCGAGCACGGATAAAGGCTCTTGTGCGGGCTCATCGCTGAGGGAAATTATCGTGTTTGTATGTCAAGTCCGCATTGGACCGTACTCTCTTTGACATAGTGCAGCTGGCCCACCGAAAGGGCTTATCCTAAACCAAACTGTCCAAAATATTGACCTTTTCCGCGATCCTTGGCGCTGATAGTAGTCAGGAGCTCTCATCAGGGCGTGGCGAAGATAGCCATAGCGTTGCATCGGCGCCTTAGACGCCACCCGCTACTTCAAACTAGGTGGGACTAGAACTGCGCATGGTGAACGACTAGCTCTTAACACCCAGCTTAGTCTCCACCGTTCAAGTGAATCTTCGAATCAAGACCAGTTATCCAAGCAACCCGTCCAGGGCCCGTGAGGCTTAGGCTGCTGAGCTCTAGGACGGAAATGTAGATGAGGACGATTTGTCAATCAAAAAGCCTCCTGATTGACTGGTACCTTGGCGCAGGCGCTGCTGAACTGTGACCCTCGCCGCAATCCTTGGCTAGCAATCCCATGCCCGCGCGCTCTTGGATAGCATGAAAGAGACAAATGAGATTTAGTGCTTGGTTTCGATTGCCAAGAGAGAGGAATCGTTTTCTAATAAGGAGCCAGCTGCTCTAAGCGAGCCATCACGAGTTGCAGGCAGCAGGCAGACTGCGAAGGCGCCTTCGTTTATTTCTCGGCGCCCTCGCGGCATGATGACATAAATTGCCCGTTGTTGGTTGGAGAGCCCGAGGCCGCTTAGGCTGCTTGAGCCACTCCACGTCCTCCAAATCAATGATAACCAACCGCTGGGTGGATTCGTCCCATAGCATATTACGCCACTCTTTGTCTTTGTGGTCGACTCCGTGTGACTGGAGGATGGACAGGCAACGATTGCGCTCTTCGTGGAAGAAGGCTGAATTTTCGTTGTTTATTCGCTGAAGACGAGTTCCAGACCAACTCAGGATCATCATATGCGTCATTATTTCACCATGGTACCAATATTCGATGTTCGGCACGAAGCTGCCTAGACAGACCGGGATGTGATGCCCTTGCAAGGTACGGAGGTGGTGATAGTTGTCTGCTTCTGCTATAAGGGCATGTTCCTTCTCCTCCGTTGTGGCTTTGATAATCACGGTATACCCGTGAGACAATAGAGTTGCTTTTAACAGATACCCAGTCCGACCACGGATGTGTAGTGGTTCAAAACCCTCGTTCCGGTTCTGGACAAGTTGACGATGCAGGTTGCGCGTGAACCCACGCGCGTCCATCGGATGCCACTGACCACCGTGGAGTTGCCGATTGGGGCACTTGGTATCGAGGCGACCTCGGTTGGCCATACCGCGGAGGCAAGCCATAGTGCAGTATGATCTCTGCACGCCCTTTTGAGAAGGGGCCTCCTTTTTCCTCCGGTCACGCGGTGCCTGCTCTTGTCCGCTTGCTAATAGGCGTTCACTCCCTTTTCTGCGGTTCGATCTGCGGGCGGCTGGTGCGGTAGACGGCGAAGGTACCCCATTGTCACTGTCGCTATCCTCACTTGGAGAGCCCTGCGGGGTAGATATACCTGGATTACAGCGAGCGCGGGAACGTGTATTGTGTGTCTTTAGAATCGGTTTCCAGTGTGAAGGCCGATAATTCGAGGACGGCGGCTCCTTGCGTATCGTTTCGGGGATATCACGCAAGACATTCAAGTATTCGACTTCCCAAGTTGACAGGTTTCTATATGCTGCATCATGCCACTCTTGAGATGGAGCTTCGGCAGCCAGTGCTTGGAGGGTGAATGCAAGCATCTGACCCACAGCGGTCCGGTGAAGACGGCTCTCATCGCCTGCCTGCACGTCTTGGTTTGGGATGCACAAGTGGTACTGAAGTACGGTAGGATCCGTCGGAATACGTAGAAAGACAATCGCCTCCCCCGTCCGAATACATCCGAGTGGTCTCCCCAGGCCATGCATGTATGAAAATATCTGAGCAGACACAGCAGCAGCAAGAGTAGTAGCATAAAACTCGAATGTATCACCTTCCTGATTGATAACATCGCGCTCCAGGTCCATCTCATGGAAGCCCGCAACTAGTTCAGCGACGGTTAATTTATGAGGCGCTTTGAACTCCACTGCATAAACTGGTATCTGGCGCTCGTCAGCCACGAGGTGAACACAGAATTGATCGGCCCGGCGATTGCGTCGCCATCCTGAACGTGCTATCTTCTGATTTTGGGCCACCTGTTCCCCCCTTCCTTTTCTTCTACCTCTCCCGCGGTTGGTGTTTGGTGGTTGATCAGGCGCGTCATGTTCATCATTAAGATGCATCTGCTCCAGGCTGTCATTCAGCGAGGCTGAGTTCGCGCGGTCGTAGAATGCGACTCGACCCTCTATACCAAACTCCCGTCGCAAAGTTTCATCATCTTGTAAGGCCTCGATAATCTTTTCAACAAAGTTATCCACGGTGTCTCGCTCGAAATTTCGTAAAGTTGCTTCTGAGTAAATCGGCCGGTCCCGGATATTCGTTGCGACGTAGTCTAACTGGGTGTCGGAGGGAAAGAGTGGACGCGAGGTAAAGTCAACTGCACGCTCGAGTCTCTCCCAGATTCGCTCTTGGAGATCAGGAAAATCAGTCCAAGGTATAATCTTTTTGGGGTAAAGTCGATTAACTGGGTCAGTCACGTTGCCTTGGGTTGTCAAGGCTGCATCTGTCTCAACTCGGATCTCCTGTGACAGATATTCGTGGCAGCGGTCAAGGAGGTGAAACAGAGCAGTAGGTTGCAAACGCTGTTCTGCCTCTTCTTGCCTTCGTTCTGCCTCTTCCTGCCTCCGTTCTGCCTCTTCCCGTGCGTGTCTCTCCTCTTCCCGCCGCTTTTCTGCCTCTTCTCGTGCGTGTCTCTCCTCTTCCCGTGCGTGTCTCGCTTCCTCCAGTTGACGTCGTAACTCGGCAATATCGTCCTGCATAGCTAGTGGTTAATTTGATGTCAGGAATCCAGCGGATATGAACCCCCTGTTGGGACACTTGCGCGACGCAACTCATGATCAGGGAGTAGTGACGCGGCACCTGCGCATTTGTTTATGTTTGATTACTAATGTACCACACACGGTCTCTTGATGCCTTAGGCAGAAATGCTTCAGTTCCTGCGGGAAGCAAGCCACCAGACACGTGCAGCGCTTAGTCGGCGTTGCGAGAACTAGTACTCAACTTTTATCTCCAGGCACCATCCAGAAGCACCCCTCTACCCTACCTGCTACTATGCCATTTGTGCTGCATGTCTAAAATCCGTGTTAACACCGAATAGGCATAATACTTCGTCTGGATACTAGTAGATTATACAGTGGTGGTGGTGTATTCTTACCCTGACCCCTCGCCGAAGCGATATGCAGGATAGATTATACAGTATCAATATTATCGCATCCGTAACGTTAAAAATAGCTTCCTAACGATCCATGAAGGGCATACGTGGTGATCACCATTATTTGTAAGATTAGTGCAGCAGCGTAGGCACTACAGTAATAGGGCATATGCCATAGCGATAATCCCACTGAAACTGTGGAGTATGGGCACCGAGAGGGAGAGCACATGCGTGCATCAGGCATACTGTACGCAAAGCTATGGTCCACTTGATTATGAGTAGGGAAGACGGGCGCGTAGGAAAAAGGAAAGAATATGCGCCATTTGGGCATACGCACAGCCATAGTTTCCTGAATTATGCGCATGGAAGATGGATGCATAGAGAGAAGCAAGGCGTGTGCGCATGTCGGGCATATGCAGAGCCACGGTCCTCTAGATCCGAGTAGGGTAGCTGCTGGCGTGAAGACTAAAAGTGTGTACGCGCAGACCCGGCGTACGCGATGACCACGTTCGCCGAAACCTTGGCGATGGTTATGGTGATCAAGCGCACGCAGAGTGGAGTTGCCCATGCACCAACGGCTCGTATGCGATAGCCATGGGTTACAAGAAAACATGGCCCCAGAATAGGGGAGCTAAATATACGCGAAACTATCAGAGTAAATGATCGCGCGATCATCGCGCGATCAGATGAGTCATCTTAATCTGAGCCGCTTCCTTGTTTTACGAGAGCGCCTTCAGCCAAGCGCTTTTTCTCCTCAAAATTCACACTCTTTTCTAGAAGAAGATTCTCTGGAGGCGGCGGGCCCCTTATATTATTTGTGTGCGGAGTATACTCTCACCTTGAGGTGGGAGAAAGCTGGGCCGCTGTTTTCTGTCTGTCTGAAGGAGTGGACCAATGAGTCAGTCACTGGTGAAGCCACCATATGGGCCGTTCTTGCGGTTCAAGTGTTCAACCAATATTTTATTTCGAGACTTGCGCTTTTTTGAGGAGCGTCAAGATCTTCCCAGCTCTGCCTGTGATTTGATGAGCCCATTGCTTCCAACAAATGTTGAACACATTTGATGACAGGAGTAGTTCTTTACCAACCCCGCTTTTTGCTTGAATAGCTTTCTAAGGCTTCAAGAAAAACACCCTTCTTTTTGCCCTTTTCCTTTTCTCTCAAGCGCTGGGCTTCTCTGAAATCTGTTGCGTTGAACACACTGGAACCACAAGAATGAACTGCAAGAACACTCACATGGTCGCCTGGCGCTAAGTTTAGCTAACTTAATCGCCATGCCTCACAACGGGTGACTCATTGGTCCCACCCCTGTCAGGGTCAAAGCTATCGCCCACTTTCCGAGAGACTTCGCCTTCTCTTCCAAA